GCTCATGTTTGCTCTGTTGCTGCACCCTCAGTGGAGTAAAGAAAGTCAAGATAAAGGTCTCTGTACTGAAACGTGTCCACCGCAACTCTTTGATTACTTTTTTTGTGCTTCCTCTTCCTGGTGAACGTCACTGATACTTCCTTTCCCATTAAGGAAAACCTTTACGCCAATCAGTGTTTTGCCTACATGTCAGACACACAACAGCAGCACCATGAGTTCCGCACAACTGCGTTCACGTAGAAGTGACGCAAATCTTTTGACTGAACAAGGTCATCTAACAAAAGGAAACGTGACCAGTTTTTCTCCTCACATTTGAAAGCTTTGATTAAAATGTTTAATACGACTCATTTCCAGCAGTTTGATTCATTTGAATGAAGCGTTCGTTCCTGACTCACAGCTTCAGATTTTACTCCGACTTGTTCTGCAGATTCAGTCTGTGCGGCTAAGAACCTGACACGACTGACAGAGCAAATCCACTGTGCTCAGAGGTTTTGCCTTTTCTACCAGTTAAAGTGAAAGTCAATAAAATGCAGTTTGAATGCTAACACACAAAACAAGCAAAATCCAGCACTGTGACCAAAAAGCACCAGATGTCTCCATGCAGTGGCTTATATTCACATGTATGGGTGTTCTTTGACTCGTATCAAATATCACTGTTGTTACTGCTTGTATCAGACCTAGACATTGTGTATCAGCTGGCTACACTTTGACATACCCGGGGAACCGTACTCGTAGCGTGGAAGTCTGCAAATCTTGGGCATCACCTCCATCAGGGTCTTCACATACTGCATTATGGTGCCCTGAAGCTGTAGAAACAGACAGCTTAACTCCACTTAAAGGGAAGTGAACTCACAAAGAATGAAGCATCATGAAATCATAGCTCCTGCACATCATTACACACTCACTAGGCTTTTGACAACCTTCAGCAGCTCCTCCATCACCACAGCGATGCCCTGGTAGCCCAGCAGTCTGCACATCACCTTAATGTGTGGGGGGCCCAGAAAGTTTCTATAGGAGCCAAAAGTGCTGCTATAGGCCAGGTTCAGGGTCTACATGCAGAGAAAGACATCAAAAAGGTTAGTATGAATATTGCACACCACCATGCAGGGACTTTGTTTTGAGATATTTAAGGGGGGGGAAAGGTGAAGCTCTGAGAAAGCAGTCCACAAACTATTCTTTCACAGTCTGCTTCTCTTTGAGGGAGTTCTTTGTCCCCACAGTCCCCAAGTGCTACATTATAAAGCGGCTTAATTAAAAAGAAAAAGCCAAAATAAACCCAAAGAACAGCTGAGGCCGGAAAAGAAGGTCATAGTAGAGGAGAGGGTAAGTTTTCCTCTTGTGTCATCACAGTGTTAAACATTTGAGAGGATCACAATAATCAGACACACTAACCTGCTGTTGTGAGCTGATGCCTTGTAAATAAAAGTGAAAGGAATCAACGAATGCTTACATTAAATTCCATGGCACATTTAAAGTGAGTAAAATGGGAACATTTTCCACATTAGGATTATCCTCTGGGGACCACGAACAGCAATACGACAATCTGGCCGCCAGTTGTTCAGAGCTTTTGCTGTGGAACAAACAGTTAGGCAGATGGTCTCGCCAACTGAAGCACATTTAAGCTCCAGCGTCAGATATTCAAGATACTCTGACATAGACCAAAGTGCTGCCCGAAGGGGAAATAACAATCAATAACACTATGATGTCTCCGCATTAACTCGTTGGCATGGAATACAAAATCAAAGCAGCCAAATTTGCTAACATATAAAGATTGATTTGTCTGCACTGTGCACTTTTCCCTTACATACACCACAGATTTTTAGCCCTCCCTCTCTCCTGTCAGCAGTGAGGTGAAGCTCTAATCCAGCAGCGGCGATGAGGACACACCGATCTCTGCGTCAGTACTGAGGTTAGAAATCTCCACAGCAGCACGCAGCATCAGAGCGCCGACACAAGAAAAGATTTTTTAAGTGAGTGACGAGCAGCAGCAGCAGCACCACGGGATAATCTGAGCAAACACCAACATGTGCTGGCACAGGTCTCCCGGTAAGTTTCCATTTTATGCTTTGAATTGATGACGGTGGTCGTACCTGTTACTTGTTACAGCCAATAGTTATAGAAACGTCAATAACAAGATGCTTTCTATGACTCCTCTGAAAAACCACAAGATTTCTTTACAGTCGTAAAAATGTGGCAAAAAGAAAACAAAATGAAACCTGTGAGATTAACCTTGTCTGAAAAGCACCAGTATTTAGGAGGGTTTAAAGCATCATTTTTCATCAACATTTCTTTAAAGTGAGCCTGCAGGGAGCACCAAACCCACCCTGCACTGGTTAAAGGCAAAGTGAAAACTTTTAATAATTTTTACATTTGGGTGTCATTTTATTCAATCCACGTAAAATATTATTCAATACTGAAGATTAAGTTTAGATTTTTAAAGCAAAATAAACTCTTGCAATAGTTAAATATGTCAGCAGGTGCTTTGGGTCAAAGTGTGATTTTATAAAATAAATTTCAGGATTTATTAAAATATTGAAATAAAAAGCTCGTAAACTGGACAGCTCAGAAAAATACATTTTCTATTATGCAATTTGCATCATCTGTGCATAATCTCAGCTCCCTCCCACCCATCTGTTCCAGATAATTCTTCGTACAATGCTTATTATCCTCCGACATTGCTTTGTTTTCCCCTCGTTATGCTTTATATAACATGGTGAGGATCGGCTGTGTGGTCATGACATTTTTCATTATGCTAAGCTCTGTGCATACTGCAAATGGGAGCAGGATTTAAAGTCAGGAAGTAATTAGAGCTTTTATTGAAACTATAAATTGGTGAGTTTTTGGATGCGTTTTTGCCCACTTACGTCAGAGCGGTCCTAAGACCTAATGCTGCTTTTCCACCAACTATTTAGAACCACCTCCATTCACTTCTATCTGAAACGCAACAAAACACTGACATTAAAGACCTGAGA